AGATTTTAAGTAGAAAGAAGCAACCCTGTCATATAAACAATAGGGAAAATGATGAGAATCATCTTTTCTCTTTGTATAATGGAGTGAGGCATCCTAAACTGACTAATTCTATATTTTTAGCAAACTCTGTATTTACTAGCTGGGAGATCCTGCTCCCAGCCAAAGCACTTCCCCCCCAGCCCTGATCCTTTACAAGGTCTTCATTAAGATTTAATTCCTCTCTCTTGCTTCGTGTGCTGATGTAGTCACACTGCAAACTAGCCAAGCAAAAAAAAACAAACAATAAGGAGCATCTAATCAGATAAAACCAAGCAGAAGTACCTTTTTTTTTTCCCCCACTTTGGAAAGGCAGAAAGACACCGTTGTTACCTCTTCGCCTTGTAGCCTGTGAACACAGACAGGCCTCTGCTACATTTGGTATTTTACTTACAGGTAACTTTGTGTTAATCTAATTTATGTATTGCTGATTACTGAAGCTATCGTATTGCTTCGGCAGACTTTCTTCCAGAATGCTGCATCTTGCATAGGGCTAATCTTAATTCTGTTCTCCTACATTTTAACTACTAAGAAAAAAAATCAGATTTAACTGCCGTGTTTTGAAATCCTGCCTCAGGATATTAAGATTTAGTAACATGAATTCTCACTTGAAATAGCAGGACAAACTGTTCTATTTACTCACAATATGAATGTAAAATATGCAGCATCCCTCACATGAGCAGTAGAAACATGCCGATAGTATCTTAAAGACAAAGGAATTTGAGGGGAAAAAAAAAAAAAAAACCCTTCCTAGGCTAATTTAAGCTGTAGGAGCCGGGTGGTGCTCGGCCCAGCCGCGGACGACGGGGGCCCCGGCGGGCCCCGCCCCCGCGCTGCCCCAGCTCCGCCAGCTGCGGCCGCTCTCCCGGATCCATGCGCTTCCTCAAACGCGTCCTGCTGGTTGGGGGAACATCTAAGTGCCCGGGAGCTGGCAGGCACAGCCATTTCCAGCAGGTCTGAATGGCTTAGCTCTCCTGGGACAGAAGGGACACCAAAAGGGAGGTGACAAACATTTGCCACTTTTGAAACCGCAAAGCAGAACGCCCCAGCTTGTGCCTTCCCGAGGCTCCCTGTTGTGCAGCACAACCCTGGAGAACATCTGCTCTAGATTTCTCCAAGCTTATAAATCTACAATTATTATATAATTACTCCAATTTTGCTTGTTGACAATACAAATATATTTGGACTAATGCAAACCCCTGCTTCTTAAAATAGCTGTTTTGATTTTTGCCCCATGTTTACAGACACCAGCATGAACCTGAAGAAGTATTTTGTTCGAGCACTGCACCGTCTGCAGAAAGGCCCTGGCTACACATACAAAGAGCTGCTGGTCTGGTACTGTGACAACACCAACACACACGGCCCCAAACGCATCATCAGAGAGGGGCCAAAGAAGAAATTCATGTGGTTTTTCTTAACTTTGCTCTTCGCATCTCTGGTCTTCTGGCAGTGGGGTATCCTCATTAACACGTACCTCTCCTACAGTGTCACTTCATCTCTTTCGATTGGATTTAAGACTATGAAGTTCCCAGCAGTCACAGTCTGCAATGCCAACCCTTTCAAGTGAGTTCTTCCTTTGCCTAATTTATCCAGTCATGGATTAACACACTGAGTTATATTGCTAGCATAAGATACTGTAGATTTGGTTGCTGTCTCATATTGTATTAGGAGCATCAATGAAAATTATCATTTGAAGCAACAACCGGCAGTAAAAAACAAACAAATTAGGACAATATAAAAATGAATGGCTCGTATCCAAAGAAAGGCTCGTGTAGCTGCAAGTTTGTCTGTTTTTCTTTATTGCATCAGATAATCCAATAATGGTTATTGCTTCCCTGTAAACTTTGTCTGGCTCAGAGAAAACTCTAAAGTTTCAACTAACTTGTCACAGCCAAGATCAGACTCTTGATCTTTCCCCACAGTTCCTTTCTTTTTTTTTTTTCTTCCTCACCATGAACATATCTCTTATCACTTATACGCCAGTCATTAAGAGCTAGTTAAATGCTGGTATCTGCTCTAAGTTACAGTATTATAACCCCAGAATAACTTCAAAGGAATAACTGATTTTGTTAGTTGCTTAAGATTCATGTCCATGCAGCAGTGTAGTCCAAAATGAGATGCCTACAGCTGACACACGGGCAAGTCTGTCTGTTTTTAGCCTCTCTCTCTGCTAGAGATGTTTTGTGTAAGCTAGTAGGGGATTGTTTGAAGAACCATGATGACGGTTCTGCGAGGTGCAGCGAGGCACAGGACAGCCCTGTGCTCATCTTCCAGATAGTGGTCGTGTCTGGCTGCTGCCCCGTTCCAGGCTGCTAGGATACACGTTTTCAAACTGCTTGTGCTTCGTGTGGAGACTCCCTTTGCTCTCCAGTTAATCTCTATGAAACAAGCTGAGGTCCAGCCGAGTAACGGGACACATTCTGCTTCGTGCTGCTGCCACCATTACCCCACCTGGTAACTGCTCTTTGTCCTGCAGATACTCAGAGGTGAAGCCGCTGCTGAAAGAGTTGGACAAACTCATAGACGCGGCTCTAGACAGGATCCTGCAGCCCACGCAGGGGGACTCCATCCTGCCCCCGCCACTGAACAGCAGCGACGACATCTCCGAGACACTGGATCTGAACCTGTGGAACCAGATACCGCTGGTCCTCATTGACGAGCACGACAAAGACCATCCCGTCATCGTGGATATCTTTGAGACCAACCAGACTGGCCCAGGGAACCAGACTGTTGCTCCTCCTGACACATCCAACACAACATCCGAAGGAAAAAAATACAAACTGGCAGTGAAACTGGTAAGTGAGGGTCCCATAGCAAAAAGAGCAGCTGTACGTCTTGCCAAAAAACAGCAAGAGGGGACGGGAGGAAGCCAGGCAGGGTGTACGGGCTGTGCTGTGCTGGAATGTAATGCAGAAATCAGGCCTCGAGGTGTCTCTTTATGCCCACCTGGCTGCTCCTTGCGTCAGTGCCAGGCCCTGGCCAAGGGGACGGCTCTTCTCATCCTGCAGGAACATCCTCCCGTCTCAGCTGGCGGCTGCTGGAGGAGCACGGCGGTTCCAAATGCACTTGCTGCTCAAGCTGGCGTGCACAGATAACGTAGCCGGGGGAAGTCTTACTCATGCTGGTGCCTTGGAGGACTTCTGCAGTGCCATGAGCCATGTTAAGTTAGTCCTGATGAATTTAGGCAGCTGCAAAACAGATAATCATTTCAGTGAAATCAACAAGTTCTTCACACACAGTGCTAATGGCCTAGAGCTGTATCTTAGAAATGCAGAAAGGATGCCAAGAGCAAATAGTTCAGCCTCTGATAATAAGGATGTTAGAAACCCTGGGCAGCGATGGAGAGGATCGTGACCGAGCACCAAGTGCTCTTCGTGTGTTCCCTTCTGCTGTCCCTTGCCTTCTCTCGGAGCCAGCTCGTTGTTTAAGACCTGGCTCCTGTGTGTCTCCAGTGCAGCTACGAGGGCTCCAACGACTGCATCTACTGGAACTTCACGAGCGCGGCGCAGGCCGTGACCGAGTGGTACATCCTGCAGTCCACCAGCATCCTCTCCAAAGTGCCGCTGGAGGAGAGAATCAGGATGGGCTACCAAGCAGAGGACATGATCCTGGCATGTCTCTACGGGGCCGAACCCTGCAACTACAAGTACGCGTGCACTGAACTTCTTGTCTCTACCTGTCTTTGCAGGAACGCTACAGATGAAGAGATGATAGCATTTTTTTTTCTTTTTAAGTTAGATTATCAGTGGATAGTCATTTCCACTTGTTCTTAAATCTAACAACATTCCCCACAAGGTTTCTAGATGTGATTCTGGTTGAAAAGGTATATTTTCAGATAGAGCTGGCATGAGTATGAGACTTCAGATTAATTTTAGGCAGAAAAGCTACCAAGGCTCTATCAGGTTTCTGAGTGGGCTGGTATAGCCTCTGTTCACAGCCCTGTACTGGTTCTGCCTACATCCCAGCTAGTTCAGGTTTGCTTCTGGAAGCAGATTGAAGTTGAATCTTAGTCCATTTAAGCTCTTTTTTTCTTTTCTCTGCTTAACAGGAAAGGTCATAGGCTCTTACCTGCCAGGAAGGCTGGCTCTTCTACAGCTACAGCCAGGTTATTCAGACCATTACGTAAAAACAATACACCCCTTACTTTGCACATCAGAGCAAGACCCAGAAATAAGACAACTAATTTTCATTTTGGATGGGCCGTTTTGCTCATGTCCTATTGGGACTAGCACCACCAATGAGACCTTCATTGAATATTTAGTGATCACCAGCTGCCAGTTCAGGATCTTGCATAGAAACACAGCCCTCACTTACACGGTCACATTTTACACAAGGCTCTGTGAAAAGCATTTAACCTCTCGCTGTTCCTTGTGAATAGCAATCTTATATATCCAGTTTTGAGAAACTGGAGTGCAAAACAATAGCCCATCCTGCAACGTTTTGCAAGCAATAACATTTTCTTTAAATAATGTAATTATCCTCAAGGAACTAGATACATCTCCAACCAAATCTGTTAATGCAGCTCTGATTCCGCAGTTGTTTCTGCCTCAGCTGCAGGCTGGGCTCTTCCTGAGCACTATGACAAAGCGCTGCCTGCAGTGGCTGGCTCAGAACATGCCAGGACCTTGTTTCTCTGCTTTTCAACAGCAGATTGATTGAAATTATATTAACTGGCTAAACACTTGCATTAAAAGAATCAGCTAAAGTGAATCAATCCCAGACCAATTTGCCAAAAAATATCCTCTAGAGCCATTATTTTATAACCTTTTAGTTTTCCACAATAGTCATAGTTTTATGTGCGTGATTCTTTCAGGAATTTCACCCAAATCTATCATCCAGACCATGGGAACTGCTACATCTTTAACTGGGGCATGGATGAGGAGGCTTTGAATTCTTCCAACCCTGGAGCTGAGTTTGGTAAGAAAAGCTCTGCTAAAGAAGAGGGAATTAAGGGAGCAAAAGTGCTATGACTTATTCCGTCACTCATAAACTATATTTGTTATTTAACATGTACCAGATTTATGATTTCTGTTTCTCTAGAGCACTACGGCAGGGAATTGCTGTTTTCTAGGAGATAATCCTCCTAAAAGGAAAATGCATTGCACAAAAACAAGTAATATGAATATAGTTAGTAGAAGTGTAATGACATTTAAAAAACATCCACATAGCCAAAGTATCTGAGAGAATGCTTGAACAATCAAATATTTGCATTCTGTGCGTTTGCCGTCATGCAAACTTATGCCCATTTAACACTGGCTATAACAGACAGAACCTTTCCCAGGGAAGAGAGAGTTCTGTGCACAAGAAAATGTTGTTTTTCCAAAGACTCACGTTTCAGTAGAACTCTGCATTTCATGTTCTGAATATTGTGTTTGGTGTCACAGGGCTGAAGTTAATTCTGGACATCAGCCAGCAAGATTATATCCCCTACCTGTCATCAGCTGCCGGGGCTAGACTAATGCTGCACCAGCAGAAGAGCTTCCCATTTCTTAAGGATCAGGGCATCTATGCAATGGCTGGGACGGAAACCTCCATCGGCTTCTTAGTGGTATGTGTGGCATTCCTCTGGAGCAAGCTGTCTGAGAATAATGTTATCTGATGGGACTGCAACCAAGCTTCCCAGTCTTGGCTGAACTGGCTCAAACCAAAATAGTCAAGGTATATGCTAGCTATGGGCTGGAACAGTTTATGGAGAGTTTTATGTAACTGTCCTGGCAAAGTGCTCTAGTAAAGCCAAAATACTGAGCTCAGGTAATTGTTCCCTCCGCCTGTAGTATGTTAGGAGGTTTGCTGTTAAAACAGGCTGTTGACATTTCACACCAGAGCCAAGCCATGGCTCTTACCTCTGCTTAGGGCACCTTTCCTTTACCTCCAGCTCAGTTCTCCCAGCAGGATTGTCAGCCTGGAAAGATCTTTTTCTTTTTCCTATTTTTTTCTTTTTATCTAGGATATTCTACTACAGTTCCCATTGCCACCATTTTCTTCCAGGCACTGAGCACTCGGTCAGCACGTATCACATTTCTTTTTCAAATTCTGCGAATTACACGCAGGGTATTTTGATTAGCTCTTGTGTTCTGCTGGCTGCACCTTGCCCAGCTCTGCCAGGGCAGCTGCCCTCTGCAGAGCCACTTGTGCTTGTCGGTGGCCAGAGACGTGCCAGGACGAGGGCAGCCAGGAAAACCCGAGCCCAGCCTGGAAAACCCGAGCCCAGCCCTCATCTCCAAGAGACTAATCACTGGGAGGAGGGAAGCAGAGTGAAAAGGTCGTTTCTGCCCCATGAGAAAATGGCTCCGTTACAAAATGTGCATGACAAAACTGCAGCACTTTGTTTAAATCCCGTGTCCTTGAATACAATCGTCTATGTTATAACTTCTTGATCCGGCCTGGTGGAGTAGCTATGTCTTTTCAGGCATCTTTCAGCTCGGCCTACTATGATTTTTTCTCTCTCAAAGGCAGCAGGGAATACAGGAATTGCAGAACCTCAGACCAACTAGCACCAAGGATGCAGGCAAGAGCAGTAGTTTAAATATTTTGCTGTTTCAATTTTCTTTCAGGATGAACTGGAACGAATGGGTTATCCCTACAGTGACTGCACTATGAATGGGTCTGATGTCCCAGTAAAAAACCTATATAGTGAATATAATACTTCCTATTCCATACAGGTAAAACATGTTCTCAAATCAAACAAGGTTGTTTAAAAAATCTTCAAAGTAGCTAAAATTGTTTTTAGCACACAGTATTACTAGAGGATCAGCAAACAGAGTAGAGTGCATTACCAAAGCTCAGGAACTTCTTTTTCTGGCAATGCATCAGCACCTGAGTCTGAGCAGTCGGTAGCCTCAGGTTGGGAATAATCCTGTTGAATCTGATGGAAATACCTGTATGTTGCAGGATCAAAACCTAATGATGTGAGTAATAAAACTCCAAAGATAAAGAATATTGTTTGGCAGACAGCATTGTTTCACATAATATTCAGTTTCCATTCTCCCATCAAAACTGTTCAATTTGCAGGGGATGTACATCAGCCCCTGCAAAATAATTACTTTTTTCTTATTCATTTATAAGTTTTATTTTATTTTGAGAGGATTGAAGATGCTCTTTTTCATCATTTTCTCAAAATCTATAAAACAGCAATCTCCCAGAATCTCTGTTGTTGAACGGCATCCCCGGATGCATGACCTACCAGGGAAGTGACAATTTGCAGGTGAAAAATCAAAATGTTCCTCTACATATGACCACTGTTTAACACTGGTCCTTTCCTTGCATGCTGCTGCCTCAGAATTCAGCTGACGAAAGCAGCGGGTTCTCACTCATACTGCAATAATTTTAATAGCAAAGCTGTTCAGTGTGGAATAATCTCAGGGGCCTTCCTGCAATGGGAACAGTTACTGCGATTCTAGGAAGCTTTTGCTGAGATTTTTATGTGACAGCTTTTCATAAAATAGGATGTTTCCTGCTGCCCTGGGTGTCTGGGAAGATAAAAACTATCCAGATAACTATTGTGCTCCTTGTTTTAACTGTGATATTGCTCTAATGTGCAAGGAAGCTTACATTTTGCGTACATAAGCAGTATTGCTACTGCTCTGACAGGGAATAAATATACAGAAAGTATTTATCACCTGAATACTTCAGTTCTTTTTTAATCCTTTTCTCTTTAAGAGAAATAAGTCTCTTTTTTAACACTGTATATTGTGGATACAGAATGTAGCCATACCTTTGTCTTTTCTTCCCTTCACAACCAGGATGAGAAAACAGTTTGTAAACCTTGCATCTGTAATAAAAATACAGTGTAGACATAAAGCACTGGTTAATTTGTAACAAAGGCTTTAGCCCAGTGGGGACAAACTTCTTAAGGGTGAGATCTGGCAATAAAGAAAACAGAGTTATTTACAAATGACCGAAGAATAAATCTCAGAGAAGGTGAAGGGTTTTGGCCTGTCTTTATATAATTGTAACAACTGGACCTCTTTGCCGTACACTTTAAGATGCTTGTATAACCTTTAAACAAATACTTGAAGTGATTACATTATTACTTAGAAGAGGCTGGATGCTGACTCAGGTTCCGCATCCACATAACTCATATCGCTTCAGAGACCTCTCACCAACAAACTTTTTCATCACTCTCATTATAGTGACTTTTATGAGCATTTCATAATACACAGAACTTATGATTTTTCCACCCAGCTGACACGTAAATTTAATTATCTTTTCATAGGTTTTGTTATTGCTTTGTGCATTGTTTCATCAAAAATCCCACTCCAATATCTCCTGATTAACTTCATGCCTCAATGAGCTAGTGGTAATGCTGCAGCCCAGGATCACAAGCGGTCCAGGTTGCAGCATGATCCTTTCATGGAGAGAAACAGATGCACAGATAAGATAATCGGGATTTAAAACCTGCTCTTGATGCTGAAGTATTTTTAAAGTCTTACCTTTTAAAGCAAAAACAAGCCTTTTGTCAATGTCATATAAATCCTGGGAACAGCAGCAGTGTCTAGGTTATAACAGAACTTTTTTTTTTTTTTTTTGAAACTCCATACAACTGCCTTGAAACCCTAAAATAATTAAGAAATGAGCATTTCTTGTGTGCCTGGGAGCAGGTTGTTTAGTTCTCTAACACCTACAGTTAGCTCACAAACACAATCCACAAAATTTGGAGGAGCTGTAGTAAAAACACAACATAGATAAATATGTAATTGCAGTGCATCTGTAAACACACGAGCTTGTTTAGCTCCATCGTCTGTCTGTTGATATCATAGACTGTAAAACGGTGTCATTTGGGGCTGATGGCAGTGGCTTCCCGTGGCGTTTTCAGGCGCACACGCGTAGGCTGGAGCGCGACGCTGCTCGCTGGCCGCCTGCAGCAGCGAGCCCCGCGGTGCAGCACCCTGCAAACCTGCCTCCCTGAGCACCTTTAGCGATGTGTAGCTGCAAACAGGGCAGACAGAACACGGCTAGGAGGAGGCTCAGCTCTCATAGACTATACGAAGCAGTTCTCATAGATTATATAGCCATCAGCAGCATAATGCAGCACAGAGATCACCGTGATAGTATGTCCCAGCTCTAAGCAGCTCACTGTTCCCTTTTTTCAGGCTTGTCTGCGCTCTTGTTTCCAATATCGCATGGTTGAAATCTGTGGATGTGGTCACTATATGTTTCCTTTACCTGAAGGGGTAAATTATTGCAATAATGAAGATAACCCAGGTTGGGGTAAGAACATGATCAAAACTAATTATACAGCCTTCCCCGGGGTATTGGCACACAGGAAGGGAGGGCACGTTTTGTCAGTATTGCAGGTGCAACAGTTGCTTATATAAACTCTTACCTTGGCCATTAGGGTCACTGGCAGTGAGCCTAGGAAATTCTTGGCACTGCCCAAGGGCTAAGGGCTCCCAGCTTCCATCCTGGCCTTGGTCAGATTTCCCTCAGAAAGATGGACTGTGGAAGACAGCAGGAGTTCTGGACAGCAAAAAAAAAAAAAAAAAAAAAAGGGGGAAGGAAGAAATGTGTAACACTTCAGGTCACCTGGCGCGAAAAGATCAGGTCCTGAAATCAACTTGCCCATCCCTATGTAAGTGGTACAATTGGCTCCTGTAAGGAAACACAGAGCCCAACAGCTCTGTGTTTGCTCTTAACAGACCATTTGAGAGCTCTTTTTCTCTTGCAACAGCAACTTACAGAAAAAGAAATGTAAAATACCACCTGAATTGCAATACTCTGTTATAAGCAAAGCACCATCATACTATTGGAGTTGGCAAAGCTTGTACCTAAAATACTGATTCTTTGTAAAAGCTACCTGCAGAAAAGTATTAAATTGTCTAATAATTTTGCCTGAGTTTTCAAGGAAAACAAGGCTAGCGGGGAAGAAAGCAAACTTGTGCTTCAGGCTCATATTTAAAATACTTCTTTTATTAAATACAAATTATATAATCCAGATAGGCTGGGTTCTCACCTAAACAAATGCTTTGATTTTTTGTTTTCACCAAACAGCATATTGCTATTCATCACTGAGATCAAGTGTAGGACACAGACAGTTTTGTATTGACTCTTGTAAGGAGACATGCAAGTAAGTGCACAAATTATTTCTGGCAGCTCTAAAGGTGGAGGGAATCCTGCATTTCATCTCCCATCAGTTCTGACCTTTATAAAACTGCAGCAAATCTTTTGGGGTTGCTTATCTGAAACAGAACTAAAGTTCCAGTGACTGCAGAGTAGGGGAAATTACCTCTTGATTAATGTCCCTCTTTCTGCTTTCTAGTGACACGCAATATAAAATGACCATCTCCATGGCAGACTGGCCATCGGAAGCTTCAGAGGTAACACCAATCCCTTGTCTTAAAACATTCATTAATAATTAGATGTTCTTATCTGTGTGAATCAGCTGGTATTTTTAGAGTTAATGGTCAGGTAGCCGGCCCCTCTTCTCTAAATTACACATTTTCAGCATGTGAAGACCAGCCCCAGTGCATGAAGCAGGAACAAGGAGCAGCATCTCCCCAGCACTGGCACTTCCCTTGCTGTGGTCCTGCCCTGAGCACAGTTAACAACGCAGAGATGAGTAATCACCTTCCCACGTAGTGCAAATACAGAAGAGGCACGGCAGAGACGTGCTTTCTATGAGTTTGCTGACCAAAATACAGAGCACAAGTGCTTAGCATCATTGCTGCATTGTAAATTTTGCCTAATTGCTTTGTTTAATCCATTTACCAGGACAGCTGCTCGAGAAGGAATATGGCACCTGTGTGATCTCATGCTCTTTCAGGAGTAGAGAACAGCCAGAAACAGAGCCACTTTGTACACACAGCGTAGCTGAGGCAGATAAGATGTGATAAGATCTCATGGGCTCGCTAAAGAGAAAATGAATACTCCATTTAGATCACTCATTAAATGCTAAAGATTAGGCAGTGTCAAAGCTACACACGCAGTCTTATCTCTCTTTCTTTACCCATACACATTACAGGATTGCTTGCGTGATTGTTTTCTCTCTAGCTAAGTGTTTGCCACGCAGTATTCTTACAGCATCACAGATAAAGGTACAACATCCTCATCCATGCAGTGTTCCCATGGCATATGCTACTGCAGACAGTAGATCTCATGACTTCACTGGTTGTAATCAACATCAAAGGTGATTTTAAACAGGCATGGTGATCTAGCTTATCCTAGCACCAAAGGCTTCACACATATCCCTTACATAAGCTCTTAATCTTTAATACTGAAGTTGATAAAGCTACAGCCAGCATGACTCCGCTGTCACGCTGCGAATGCAGCAAAGGCATCTACGAGTTGCTGAATGTAGGAGTCATGAGCAGGTAGAGAAGCACGGTTACCTTATAGACCTCGTTGTACGGGTGGAAAACGGTCTGTACCTCGTTGTACGGGTGGAAAGCGCAGCTGCAGCGCTGGGCTGCGCGTGCCGGCCCCAGGCAGGGCCAGCACGGAGCAGATGGAGGCAGCGCAGGGCCCGTTGGAACGAACCGCAGAGCGGGAGCGTTGCTGATCCCGTAGAGCTGCGTTAAGGAAAGGATATTCACTACAGTTTGTTTATGTCTGGGGTTTCTGCCCAGGCAAGTGCAGAGAGAGGATGCTGCGTCTCAGTTTTGAATACATTTTATCTTTCTAGGACTGGATTTTCCATATATTGTCTTACGAAAGGGACATGTCAACAAATGTGACTCTGGACAGGTAAGTGAAAGGAACAACCACTCTATCTTTTCTGATGAGCCTGTTAGCATTAGATTAACATGGACCCTGGCTGTCCGCCAGAGCACACGTGTGCTCATGCAGGAGAGCAAGACTTGGTGCAGGTTTTGGGGAAGATACGTAAAGTAAATCTCAAATGCAATTCATGCATATTCTATGTTCTCTGTAGTAACGAACCAGGTAGGTAAAAACCCACATGTGCAGTTAAACTAAAAAGAACATTAAACACAGCATCCCCCATCATTTGCATGGAGGAGTTTGGAGACTCTAAAGCTATAAAATCCATGAACTTCCAGAGTTCAGCTCCTGTATCATAATGCTTTTATATTTACATCCCTGATTTTGCCAACAGCAGCAGCAACAGATTGGATGCAGTGTCAACAAAACTGACTGAATTACCCTCTGATAAACTAAACCCCAAAATAGGGGGAAAATAGAGAAACAGGAAACAGTTTCATAAATGTGAGCTGCAAATGCTAACCGCCTGTAATGCAGAGGGTTGTAACCACGTGGGGTTAACGTGCAGGATCGCGGGTGCTGGGAAGCAGCGGGGATCCGGCGAGGGCCGAGGTGGAGCCTCCGGCCACGGCCTCGCGGAGCCCAGGGCGCCGGGACGGGCAGCGCCCGGGGGTCGCGACGCGGAGCCGCGTCCTGGCCCTGCGCCGGCTGCAGCGCTGGCGAGAGGCGACCACGGGGCGCCCGGGGACAGGAGCAGCCCCGCGGCGCTGCCCTGCGCGGAGAAAACCCACATAGCGAGAGGCTGCGAGGAGCAGCAACCCGCGGAACAGGCGGGAACGACGCTCCTGCGGGAGGCTTCTCACCTTGGAGTTATCGCCAGGAAAGCCTGCCAGAGAATAAGCCAGAAAAAACAGCTGCATAGGGGACTGTAAGAAGAGGCAATGGCCAAAATGTTTATATTTCAGTGCTAACTGTAGGCACTGAGGAATCTAGGCAATAAGGAACGGCCTGATTCAGAGAAGCAGACACAGCTCCCCTGATGCTCAGTGCGAGCGGCTCGGTATGGCTGAAAAGTCACTTCTCACAGAGGTTTAGAACAAAAAGCTAATGTTAGAACCTAATATTAAACCATGTATTACAAAGCAAGCTCCTGGAGAGCTGCAAAACTAATTCAGCTCTTCCCTTATGCCAAGCTCTTAAAAAAAAAAAAAAAAAAAAAAAATTCCTCAACCCACTCAGCTTCCAGGACAGATCTCGGAGCAGATTTGTGGATTTGTGCCTGGTGTCACTCGGGACGTGGCCGCTCTGGACAAGGACACGGGCAGTGGGAACTGACGGGAGAGGCAACAGCCCTTCTAGCTCCACTGGGGCAGTTAGAAAATGATCTGTCCCTTACACATCATAAGGGACACGGCTCTGAGAAGCTCTTCCAATGTACAAGCATTTAAGGACATATGTGGGACATTCATAGCTTGGCTTTGTTCTAAAGTCATTTTTGTTTCCTGCAGAAACGGAGTCATCAAGCTGAACATCTACTTCCAGGAGTACAACTACCGGACCTTCTCGGAGTCTGCTGCCACCACCGTGAGTGCCGGATCAGAGGCCCGTTCTGGGCAGAGCGGACACGTGGCCGCAGCAGCACGCGGGGCTTGTGCTGAGCTGGTCACGGCCGGGCAGGGCGGTCAGGGTCTTGGAGACACCAGTTGGAGCATCTGGAGATGCCCTCAAAGGCTCTGCCGAGAGCCTCTCCTGCTGCCTCCTCTGCCCGCTGCCAAGAGGGGGGCACAAGGAGCCTCCAGCAGCGAATCCCTAGTGCCTGGTTCGTGATTCCCTCCCACCTCTTTCCCCGTTGCCAGGCAGAGGCAGGTCCAGAGGAGCAGGGTCACGTCCTCGCGGGAATTGCGGCCTCCCCAGAGCAGGCCCTGCTGTGCGGCCTCGGCAGGGCGGTCGCCGGGGTCCCGGCCCTGCCCCGGCTCAGCACCGAAGCCCAGCGCAGGGCCGGGGCTCGCGGGTCCCCTGGTCCCTCCACGTCACCTCTCTGCCCTCCTTCCCGCCTGCAGATCGTGTGGCTGCTGTCGAACCTGGGAGGCCAGTTCGGCTTCTGGATGGGGGGCTCTGTGCTCTGCCTCATAGAGTTCGGGGAGATCATCATCGACTCGCTGTGGATCACCGTCATCAACGTCATCAGCTGGTGCAAGGGCCTGAAGCAGCGGCGAGCGCGGGCGCGCTACCCGGACGCGCCGCCCACGGTGTCGGAGCTGGTGGAGGCGCACGCCAACCGCAAGGTCCTGAAGCAGCGGCGAGCGCGGGCGCGCTACCCGGACGCGCCGCCCACGGTGTCGGAGCTGGTGGAGGCGCACGCCAACCCGGGCTACCAGCACGAGGACGGCGACGGGCCCCGCGGGGCCGCGCTGCCCCCCGAGCCCGGCCCCCCCCCGCCCAACTACGACTCGCTGCGCGGGCAGCGCCCGGCCGCCCTGGGCCCCGACAGCGACGCCGAGAGCGAGTGAGCGGCACCCGGGAGCGACGTCCTCCCGCTCGTCACAGTCAGGAAGAACCGCGGAGCCCTCGCGGTCCCCACCCCAGTGTAAAATGTTCACTGGCGAGAAGCTCTATCTAGTAAACCCTGTAATAAATCTCATGGAGTCAGCATCAGGCTGGGGCTTTAGTATACAGCGCTCGTGTAAATCAATGCTGCTATATAATCATAAATCACTAATTCCTTTTAACAAGTAGTTTTGCTTACTTGTAGGAGGGAGGTACATCCCAGCAAGAAATGTAGGGCAGAGAGCAGCTTTGAAGAGGTTGCGCTCCTGGGTGCACGGCCGGGAGGTCAGGAGCAGCACGGTAGCGAGGGGAGCAGGAGGCTGTTAAACAGCCCGGGGAGCAGCAGTGCAGGACGGGTCGTGCTGGGAGGGGAGCAGGGAGTCCCCAGGACACAGGAGCAGCTGCATCGTCACAGCCTGTGGGACACGAAAAGACACCTGAGTTTGTGTTGCAGCTGCTGCATGGGTTGAACAAGAACCACCGGGTCCCAAACTGCTGCTGGTTTCATTTCTGAATGACCGCACCGCAGACAGCAGAATAATAAATAAATAAATCAAACATTTCCTCTGCTTCCCAGAGCCCTGCGCTCTCCGTTTGTCATCTGTGCTCAGGATCTGCTAACGCTCCTGCTGCACGTGGACATGTCTGTTAATATGTGTCAGAGGAATACTCCAGACTCCCACAAAGATTCGGGTGCAGGGAGGAAGCACCAAGTCCCTTAGCAGGGCCAATGTTGGCCAGAGGAAAAACCCAGCAGCCTGAGCTGGCCGGAGCTGGCGCTGCCGAAGGGCTTGGAGGCCCAGGCCGTGTTCGTCCCAAGCTCCCTGCTTCCCCGGCAGCTCCCGGCGTTTCCTTCACTTGCCCTAAGGAGGCTCCCAGCAAGGCTCAGACCAATGCAATTAACTCACGTTTGGTTTATTCCGGCCCCCGGCCTTCCCAGGAGGCTCCGTGCCCCTCACAGCCGCGCTGGATCTGGTTTAGCGAAGCAGCTTTGCAACCTTCAAGAGGAAACGCGATAGCGCGGTTAAACCGCGGGCCTGGGAACGCGCTGTCCCGGGCACGCGGCCCGGCCCGGCTGCGTGGCCTGGGGGGGCTCCCCTGCTCGCCCAGCCCCGCCGCAGCGTGAACCCGGTTGTTGGAACGCGCCGCGGACGGGACTCGGGAGCCGCTAGCCTTGGGCAGGAGCTTCCTTGCCCCACTTGCCGCTTCTGGGGTTTTGGGGTAGGCTCTGCTCTTGATACCACCACGGAGGGCTCTTCAGTGTACGAGGCGCCGCCTGTCACGGTACCATCCTTGCCCCACAGACACAACGAGCAGCAAACTCCCTTCCGACAGGCCAGGCTTCTCACGCTTGGATATAAACGTTCAGCGTTAAGCACTTCATCTGACATGCACTGGCAATGACCAAACCCGCGCGTCGCAGCATCCGCGCTGGGCAGGCACCATCCCGGCCACTAACAGGGCCCTGCTGGCACCTTGTCACCCGTCACAGCAGCAGAGCCCTCGGGAGGGGGCTCCAGCCTTGGGACGAAGCAGATTTGGCACGAAGCAGATTTGGCACAGGACTGCGCAGCGTAGGCACAGATCTGGTGTAAACGCGGCTGCCCCAAAGCCAGGGGCCTCCGCTGCCTCAGCAGGGACAAGGCTCCAGCCTGGAGGTTCATTGAATTCCTGGAGACTTTTGTGGTGACTTTTTTTTTTTTTTTTAAACCAGGAATGTCCTCCAAATTAGCCCGCATGCTGGGGTGATAACCAGTTATTCCTGGTCACTTTCTCCCTGTTTCCTTTTTGTGTGTAGCAACAAACACAGTTCCAATACAGAGCAACAGATTTCCCTCTGCTGATCGTTCAGCTTGTCGAGTCCTTAAGCAGGGCCATCACGAGGCCGTTCCACGACCCGGGCGTCTCTCCTGCCCAACGCACCAGCGCGCCGGCCCAAGGACGCCGGGATGGGGGTGCCTGCCCATCGCTCTCCGTGATCCCCTCCACGTCTGCAGCCTTTCACCATGGGAAAGTCTGACAATAACACCCCTGTGAGCAAAGGGCTCGTGCAGGGCCCTAAAAGCTGTAGGGAATATCTATGTTAAGGACAAACAAAAATCATAAGCGGTCTTTAGGAATTTTACATCTGTCTTGGGTAAATCAAATTTCACTAGATTCCTTGTGCCAGTGCAAATGTCACAGAATGAAAATCAAACGTAGCAACCCCCTATTCTGGTTTATTTCACTTACTCCACGGGAAGGTTATAATTACGAGGAGGAAGGTTATAGCAACGGGAATGACTCTTCCAGGAGAAACTGCCTGAGAAAGAGCCTGCGATTCTCCTTCCTCGGTGGCGTGAAGAGCCCCCTGCTCCATCACCCCAGAAAGAGGAGATGACACTTCAATCCTCCGGGACGAGATTGCCTATCAATTTGCACCTTAAGTACCCAGCAAACTCGGAAGCGTGCAGAACTCATCCCTCACCGCTGACCTTCCAAGGCCGAGCCTTTAATCTTGTTGATAAAATATATTTGTCCTTGATTTTGATTGGGGTGAGGAAAACAAAAATAGAGGTAATTTACAGTCATCTGCAGCCAGAGAATATCTAGAGTAAATAAAAGATATGAGCAATAAAGAGCCGAATTTAGGCAGCACCTTCGCAGGAAGTCCTTGGGCTACTCCCAGGTTCTCATTTGCAATCCAAGGCCTGAAAACAGCCACCCCGGGCAACCAGCAACGCAAGGAGGTGCAGTGCAGGAATCATCCCCTCCTGGCGCAGCCTGAGCCGAGCGAGTGAAGCGGTGCTGGGGCGGGCAGGAGACTTGCTGGAGACGGCGGAATCCAGTTCCCACAGGAGCCGTCCCGGACCTTTCCTGCTCGAATCCTTACACCTGCTCCCCGATACATCCCCTCCAAGCAGGATAAATCCGCAGCGACGGCTCCTTCCAACCAGGCAGCTCCTCTAAAGCGACAGGTTTTTGTTCCACACAGCAGCTCAATGTGCAAAGAGCAGCTGACTCTGCCCTCCACCAAGTCTGCTCTCAAAACACGCAACCACGCTAAGATTTTATCTTCACAAACACCTCTGATTTGCAACAGCGAGAAAGCCCTGCTCTCTCCCCAAGCCACAGCAGAGCCATTTGCTTAACCTCATGCAGCAAAATACGCGACAAGGAGCAAGCAGAGAAGCAGAGCTCAATGTGCAAAGAGCAGCTGACTCTGCCCTCCACCAAGTCTGCTCTCAAAACACGCAACCACGCTAAGATTTTATCTTCACAAACACCTCTGATTTGCAACAGCGAGAAAGCCCTGCTCTCTCCCCAAGCCACAGCAGAGCCATTTGCTTAACCTCATGCAGCAAAATACGCGACAAGGAGCAAGCAGAGAAGCAGAGGGCACCGCGCTCGCCGCTCGGTCGCTGCGCGGGAGCCCGA